TACCAAAGAAGCTAGTGAGTCTAATAAAAATGTGCTTAAATGAAACCTGTACCAAAATTTGTGTAGGTAAATATGTATCTGAGACATTCTTCATCAAGAACAGTCTAAAACAAGGAGATGCTTTATCTCCATTGCTCTTTAACTTTGTGCTAGAATAAGCCATCAGAAAAGTCCAAGATAGGAGGAGGGTTTGCAGTTGAATGGGACACATCAGCTATTGGCATTTGCTGATGATGTTAATTTATTGGGGGACGATATGAATACAATAAAGAGGAACGCAGACGTTTTACTAGAGGCTAGTAGACAAGTGGGGCTGGAAGTAAATTCAGAAAAAACTAAGTACATGTTAGTATCTCATCATCAGAAGACAGGCGGGCAAAATTATCTTAGGGGGGCTAATAAAACCTTTGAAAGTGTGACAAAGTTCAAATATCTGGGAACAACAATAACAAATCAAAATGACACTCACGAGGAGACTAAATTCGGAAATGCCTGCTACTTCTCAGTTCAAAATATTCTGACTTCCAGTCTGATTTCTAAGAACCTAAAGATTAAAATACACAAAACAATAATTCTGCCCGTTGTTTTGTATGGGCGCGAAACATGGTCTCTTACTCTGAGGGAGGAACACAGATTGCAGGTGATTGAGAATCGGGTGTTGAGGAGGATATTTGGTCCTAGGAGTGAAGACGATGGGGCGTGAAAAAAACTGCAAAATGATGAGCTTAAAAATCTGTACTCCTCCGCCAATATTGTCAGGGTGATTAAGTCGAGAAGAATGAGATGGGCTGGGCATGTAGCGCGCATGGATGGGACAAGAGGTGTGCACCGGGTATTGGTTGGGAAGCCTGAGGGGAAGAGACCTCTGGGGAGACCTAGACGTAGATGGTAGGATAATCTCAGGCGGGATCTATGAGAGATAGGAGTTGAAGGAGACTGGATTTTGTTGGCCCAGGACATGGTCCGGTGGAAGGCTTTGGTTAATTCGGTGGCGAACCTTCGGATTCCCTTAGCCAGCTAGGTAGTTAGTTCTTCCGTTCTTGTTTACCTGATGACGGAAGCGGAAACGTTATTTTGTAAGTTAAACTTGAGCGAAGTCCAAAAGAGCATTTACCATCACAGTCAAATCAAACGTCTACTTACTGTTGTCTCGACACTTATTGGTGCAGTTAAGCACGCACTGGCTTGAAAATCCTCTCAGCTTTCCGGTTACTTTGTTCCTTGCACACACCGGAGCGTAGGAGTTCCTGCACGTGCACTGTGGACACAGCTGGCAGGTCGCGCTCTGCACAGCGAGCAGGAACGCTGCGGGATAAATACAGAAAACATTTGGACACGAGTAATGGAAAATGTAGCAAACTTAGCTCCGTCTTCCTTCTCAGATACACATAAGAATGAAGACGCAGCGGTAAATGTTACCTGATCGTCGCCTACGGTCAGCGTTAACACACGGCGGTTTTCGTACTCACCAGCGAGGAGAATCACTTTCTGCTTCATCGCGCTGATCTGTAAGTAGGTGTCTGCACGGACCAGCCCCTTTATAGCACGAGTCGCTTCTTCCTTCGACACGTCAAAGCCAACGTCAGAGCTTATGCATCGCCTTGTCTTGTCTCTCATTCTAACTCGCGTCCCTCTTATCCTCGCATCTCGCTCTCGAAGAATGTCCGCGTCACCCTTAACCGTGATGCAACTTCGCCTCTACGAGCGGTATTTTGCAGCCAGAAATTTGGAGACCTCTGGAGGGGGAGCCTGTAAATTGATCCGGGCGACCGGATTTCGCTTTCTGCCAGTCAGGTCCACGTGTCGATCGGTTTTGGCGCCCTCCTCCTCTCTCTTTCCTGGGGTAATAGCGGCCGGAGCTCAGCCTTCATACTTGAGACATTTAAATTCTGCAGCTGTTATTAAAAGCGTTCTTTGCAGGATGCACATAAAATATACGCGTATGAAGGGACCAAAAAGTGTCACAATTCCCGCTTGCCTTTCGAATCTTCCCTTCCCCTTTTGCTATGACGTAGCAAAGGCTCGGCTATATTCTGCGTCATGTTTCCTCTTAAAAATTACAGATGACGCTACTCAATGACGCAGCGTCACCATGAACTCAAATACGAACAATTCTGAAGCAGGAAGAGTCATATTTTGCACGTGATATTTCCGGAAGAATGAAACGAACCAAACCGGAATTCCAATGTTTTGTTCTTTGAGAATAAAATTATCTTGAACAATTTTTTCCCCGGCAGCAAAACGGTATGTGACATTATGGTACCTTTGTTAAAGAGCCTTGTGGTATGGTTGTTACTTGCATAGATTTCGTAGGTCCTAGTGACTGTGCCTATCGGATAACAGAGCCCAGCGATCGGCCTCCGACAGTTGGCCCGGAGGCGATAGTGGAAAATGGACTTCCAAATATGACAATGGATCTGAATGTTCAAGCAATAGACTCGCACTGGTTTTGCTATTTCTCTTGCTAGCACCGAGACCGACCGTTCCGGAAATTAAAGCCTCGTCCCACATCCCGGAAACTGTTCCGAATGTCACGGAAATCGTTTACTTTTCTGAAACGTTATTTTTTTCATCAGCTCAGTTGAACATAATTGCCCAGCACAAAGTCAAATTAATTTCACATGTCAGCACCTCTAAGAACATAATGCATGTTGTTCCTTGCCTTTCCTAACAGGCAATTTGCGAAAACACTGAGACAGGGCCAATGTTTCGGAGTACATGAAGAACGCCGCTGAGCTCTGAAATCAACACTGACGATAACCTGCTGCACATATGTGCGGGCTAACCTAAACTCATTAATTTCTTTCATGCTTACCATTTCGACAGCCTACATGACGAGGAAACAATTGTTGAGTATCAGTCAGTCACGTTTTGTTACGGTGTAGCAATCACGCTGGCCACGCCTACATGGCGTACAGTGGGGCAGCTTTACTTTTACAGAAATATCATTTTATACACTTAGTGGCGCGCTGAAAGATTTGCGACAAGGACTTCTCAGTTTCCCACACAGGAGAGAACGACGATGCGGCTGTATTGCCAAAAAAAAGGAATTATTATTAACTGCAAATGGGTTTTTACCCGGTGGCAGTGGTTATGGAGAATGTTTAATGGGAAAAGCCAATATATAAAAATATGAACACCACAATTCAACTGGGCGTGAGGTCTCTTTGTATGGGAACTACTGTTATTCTGTGATTCTGAGGCCTTTCATAAAGGCACAGACTCAACAAGAAATTTCAGATGTAAATTGTAAGTTGGACAGAGTAGATGAGAGTGTGAATGAAAAGCCTGAAGCGCACATGGAGAAGGGCCTAGATTGGAACATGTTGCCAAAGTAGAAAGCAGAATTAATACTAATATCACTTCTAAGTTAGACGAGTATAGAACTGAAGTGGAGCTGTCAGAAAGGAAGTGTTAAATTTAAGGCTCAACGTTTCTAAATGGGAAAGTACAGCTAATTCTGAAGAAATTACTATTCGCTCAGATAGCCTACAAGAACAGGTAACAGTAGCAACCAGACAAGCAGAGCCTGTTAGGGGGTAACAGTCAAACGCCACTGACAAATGTAACAGCTGGCACAGACCAAGGCTCTTGTTCGTCTGGAATAGTAGATTTAGCAGTCCCACGCGCAAAACACTTGGGGAAGTATGAATGGATTAAAATGTACCAGTGTTATGCACTGTTACACAAATAAGGAAGAGGAGGAAAAGAAACAAGTAATAAAAACACAAGAAAATGAGAATCATAGGAAGAATGTGAAATGGTGATTCCATGATAAGAACACACAAAAATCAACAATAATTATCAGTAATAAATTAAAAGGTTAAAAGCCAACAAAAATGCATTTTGAAAATGAAGGTTATCCACATTTCTGCAGAAAACAAGAAAAGCACATAAATCAATATATATATATATATATATATATTGATTTATTTCTAACTTGTAAGTAATATCCAGAGTGAGCTTTGATATGTTAGGCTTGTATAACCCTTCTGCTCATACACTTATATATTTAATCGTAAACACGTTGTAAATCATTCATAAATATAATAAACGGAATTCTTAATAAATTCAACATTATACTTTCTTTGTGTGTACATGTTTAACATCCATCATATAAATTAATTCAAGAAATTTGCATGTATAATGTCAGGAGGAAGTTTACTGTCGGAACACCAATGTAAACATCGTTTCACAGCCTTAATTTTTTAACTTTGTTACATGAGAATTATTTATATATGGATAATGCCCTACATGTCATGTCATGTATCCTCACTTTCCCCAAAGAATTTCACTCTTATACAGAAATTCTTAGACACATCTATGTAAGAAATGATAAACATTTCTCATGTGTATGGTGCTGTGGGCTTTTATTTTCTGGCTCAGTATATCACAGATGAGCTGAAACAATTCAGTTGCATGCCATAGCTTGTGACCAGTTGTCCAATTGGCACATCAGGAAACCCCTGTTCATTGCCAAACTGCTTTGCCGCTTCACCATCAACAGACGTGCCACATTTTTTATAGCTCCTACTGAGCCAAGAACAGATTCCCATATTTATTTACAAAATCAATATAACAGCCAGGACTCCAGAAATACAGCTCATATTTAAGTTACTTAAGAAGAAAAAACAATTTCTCACAGCCTGTGTGTCTGTGTGTGTCCATACAGGCCTATAGAGAGTCTCATAAACAAGGTTCTTTTACCACCTAATGGTGTTCCCACCCTGAATGTTCATATAATCATCACAGTAGTAGAAGGACAATAGCAAATTAATAAATGAATATTTGGGATGGCCACTAATCATACGATATACCTACCAAGTTTAACGATAATCTGTCAGCCGATCGGAATGTTCTCAAGTGGGGAGAGATAGAGTACACACACACACAGCCATGGTAAGTCTATCTTTCATTACAAATGTAGGGAAGAAGGCCAGCTGCACACACCTGTCTTCAACTCTTTTCCTCCCATAACAGAACAGAACCACATCCTGTAATTCAGCATCTTGTGAAAACAATTAAAATAAAATCAAACTGATAATATGGACATATTTGAAGCGGTTAACCACAGACTGAGAACACGGGTAAAAGATATTAGTATTGTGTAAATGCAGCAAGATACCATCTGCTATGCGTAAGTCACAAAATCACAGATGTGTATATTAGTTTAAAATAGATCAGTGTCCTAGGAATTACAATATGGCATGAATGCTTGAAACACAGCATCCCACTCACATTTGTCCAATCCTGCCTTCACCTCCCACTTTTTGTCCATCGCATATTATAATTTGTGTGCACACGAACGTTATTCCATAAAACAGCACTGAGCGCCGTACATTCTGTGTGCAACCTCCCACCTCCCTTCCTTATGATTCCAAGATAAATGATGCAAAGCGCATGTTCTGGAATACAGACTTTCTTCTCTCAGACTAAAGTGGCTGAAAGGATGAATAATTGATATGCTTAAACTCTACTGATTTTAAACAATATCAGAACCAAGACTCAAAAAAGAAAAAAAGTCCATTCTGGGAGAAAAGCTCGTTTTACACATTTTCCATACACGGCCGGAACAAATCAGCAATTCCAATTATTATGCTCCCTATAATAAAGTTCTTGCAAAGGTTCTGCTTATTCTCTAATGACAAAGTAAAGTGAAATGGAAAATTTCTAATTCCTCCCCACCCAACGGATCCAATACAATGGCCACCAACTGTCCGATGTTTCTCAGATACTGAATATGGGCATCTTCTTGCTGTTCTTGTGATTTCTGCTGCTTGCTACTTGAAGGGCCAGCGGAGTTATCGTTAACGTGGGGCTCTCCTTCACCTGAAAGATTTGTCCACTCGTTGAAGTTCGAAGCAAGGGCTTAATAGAAAAGAATATTCTGAACAAAAGATTTATATTTAGGAAGGTTCTAGGAATTGTCACCACCAAATTGCAAAATTTGCATTCACAGAAGCATGCACTCAACGGAGTAGAACAAGCCCTTATGTGTGTGTGTAACTTGAAAATATCATGAACGACATAAACAAATGGTTTACAGCCAACAAACTGGCACTAAGTTCTCTCTCTCTCTCCTTTTTCTTTTCTAAAAAGGAAACTTCATAAAATTTGTTACTAAGCACAAGGCATATAATAGGTTTTATGAAAAATTAATCGCGGAAGTTTAAACAATTTCCTTGGCTTACGAGTTGACAACACCTCAGATTGGAAGAAGCACATTGAGTATATTATTCCCTAATTAAGCTCTGCGTGCCTTGCCATCTGAACAATCATGCCACCCATGACAACAGATACTATAAAGCTAGTTTACTTTGCTTATTTCCACTCTGTGGTGTCTTATGGATTAATATTTTGGGGGAATTCAACAGACAGTAATAAGGCTTTTTACATGCAAAAGAAAATAATCACAACAATGGCAGGTGTCAAAAGCAGCGTATCTTGTAGAAAATTATTTCGTAAATTTAATATACTTCCACTTGCAAGTGAATTTATACTCTGCTTGCTATCATTTGTGGTGGAAAAGTTGGATAATTTTAAAAGAAATACAGATGTACATAATTTAATTACAAGATGTAAACCCTGCTAAATGTCAAAGAGGAGTGTACTTTACACGTGTCAAGTTATTTAATAATCACCAACCAACAATTAAAACTCTAAATTGTGATATAAATGTATTCAAGCCTGCACTGAAATTAGCTTTCATACTTGAATTGCAAAATCTAAAGGTTATGTACATTCATATGTGAAACACGTTCTTGTAATTGTGTCAAAAGTACCGAGGTTTACGTATATTGAATGAAGTCCTGAAGTCTATGTTTATTGTATGAAATGACTAGGATCCATGGAATGCAAAGAAACTCTACTCTCT